GGGGGGGGGGCTGCCCTCAGGAGCACTCTGCAAGCCTCCTAAAGGCTATGCATGCCTTTTTTGGACAAAAAATGGGCCTGTTTTGTGAAAAACGGGCCAATTTGGGGGGGTCTGCAGAGTGCAAAAACTTTTTTTTTAAATTTGCCTCTTCAAAATCTTGGTGCATCTTATACTCCAGTGTATTTTATACTCCGAAAAATATGGTATCTACATAAAGCATGTGTTCCATTGCAGAATAAATTAGCCTTGCTTTCATTTACCACTGGAGGAGATGAGGAACTGTATTCAAAGAGAGGACCCAGTGGTGATATTTGTTACCTTCTGTGGCCCATACAGGTATGTGGAGACCAAATGCAAATCCTCGCTTGGCTTCTGGAGAATTAGATAGGGACTGACTGAACTCCTCTTTCAGTTCTTCAAAGATCTCAGTCAATCAGTTATGGCAAGCACACTGCAGCTGACTGATATAAGCATTCATCTATACTCCCCACTGGACACTCTGTCTGTTTCCGCCAACCAATCAGTGTCTTCTCTTGTTCTTGCTTTGTGGTCTTCCTCAACGTGATGCTTTTGGGGTCTGTTGGGTCTGCGGCTTCTAGATCTTCCAGCCAGCAATCTCTGAATAAGAATTCTAGAAATATGGACTCGGCCTTCATGAATGAGTAGTTATGGTATGAGTAGAGGCAGCAGTCCCACTTTCCCTCTGCATGACCAGGGCTTCAAAACATAATTGGAGGAATTTCTTGGCATTGTTTTTTCTTTACTCTGCCCGCAACATGAAGAATAACATGATCAGTACGTGTCCTTTTATGTTTCTAAATATGTTGTTTTTGCCAATGACCTTCCAAAATAAAGCAGAATCGAGAACATTAAAAACGTTTTCATGTTAGTATTAGTGTTTTAGAGATGCACGCATAAGGGAACTGAGACAGGAAGCTCTTCAGAGCAAAAATCTTTTCCTTTCCCTTTCCTCAAATTCTTGCTTAACATGGAATATGAAGGCTGAGCAGTCTCTAGCCATTGATGTAGGGAAACAGGAGGTGGCTAAATAAAGTTCAGCTTCTTGGCCCTTTAATAGGGATGGACAAAATACCCCAAGTTCAGAGATGTGTCCCAACCCTGCTCCAATAATTCTAAGTGTTTCAAGCTCAAGAAGGTGTTCAGCTTAGTGCTCAGAACACTTCTGCAGTTGCAGGAATAGAACTGGGACACTCACTAAGAACTGAACATGAGATTTATAGTTGAACTAGCTGGATACCCGTTTCTTCGTGACGAAACTATGTGATCAGGCTTTGCAGGAAAAATTCGGTTCACAATCTGTGGTGGTCGGTGATTGAAACGCATAAGGGAATATCGCTCCCACTGCCTTGAGTCTGGAAGCAGTTCCATAGGTGGAAGGCATAGACATTTTGGTGAGATACCGGCGTTTAATACTTTAAGGAGCCCCAGACCGCTCCTGAGTGAAGGAGTGGAATGTCTGCTAGTTTGAACTGAGGTAACAGAATGTGAGGCAAGTGGCAGTTGGAACAGAGTTCTTTTCAGGTGGGGAGGGGGATTATAACTCCTTAACATCAGAATGTG